TGAATTTGGAGTGGAGTTTGGTTAGAACGGTGGAAATGGCTTCGTCGTTATTACCCGTGACGAGGATGTCGTCAACGTAAAAGAGGAGAAAAATCCTTGTCTGATTTTGATGAAGTGTGAGCAGAGAAGGATTGGCTTTGCTGTATTCGAAGCCAATTGTGAGCAAAAACTGTGTGAATGTGGTATACCACTGACGTGGTGCCTGACGGAGGCCATAAATCAATTTTTGGAGGCGGCAGACGTAATTCGGATAGTTGTGGTTGACAAAACCGCGTGGCTGAGACATGTAGACTGTGTCAGTGAGGAGTCCATGAAGAAACGCGTTCGAGACATCCAACTGCTGTACAGGCCATCCATGAGAGAGCGCTATGGTAAAGAGCACCCGGATGGTGGGTAGCTTGGATACCGGACTGAATGTCTCGCCGAAGTCAATGTCGTGTTCCTGTTGATTTCCCTGAGCTACGAGGCGCGCTTTGAACGGTGCGATGGACCCATCCGAGTTGAACTTCTTCCGGAATGTCCACTTACATCCCAGTATAGGTTCTTTGAGAGGAGGTGGGACTAGTTGCCATGTGCCCTGTTGTTGTAGAGCGGTGAATTCCTCTGTCATGGCTTGACGCCATTCATGATGCTTAGAGGCATCCTTAAAGTTAGTGGGATCGGATTCAGGTGAAGAAGAGCGGAGGGTGAGTAGATTGAGGCGACGAGGAGGTTTGATGGAACCAGTTTGCGTTCTCGTAACCATCGGGTGTTTGTGAGGTGGTGGAATAGTTTGTTGTTGATGATGATTGGATGGATGGTCTGTAGCGGCAGTGGACACCAGGATCAACGACGGCGGGGAGGGAGACCTGAGTGGAGCCGAAATCTGAGGAGGTGATACAATGTGATGTAGACAAGCTTTAGAAGCTTTGGATGTTGGAAGCAACATGGTGAAGGGAGGTTCATTGATCTTCAGCTGTGGAGAAGAGTGGTTAGTTTTAAAAGGGAACGAGTCTTCTAGAAATGTAACATTATGAGAAATGACTATAGATTGGGAATCCTTATTGATGCATTTATAGCCTTTATGGACATCTGAGTAGCCCATGAAGACAAACGGACAAGATTTTGGTTGTAGTTTGTTGTGCTCATGCTTAGTAAGCAGGGGAAAACATTCACAACCGAACGTTCGTAGGTGCTTGTATTCAGGGGAGATGTTAAACATTAGCTGCAGAGGTGATTTGTTCTGGGTGTTCGGAGAAGGCATCCGATTTATCAGATACACTGCGGTAGAGCTAGCTTCCGGCCAGAAGGAATGAGGAATGGAGGCACGGTGGAGGAGAGAACGAGTTGTTTCCAGAATATGGCGATTCTTGCGTTCCACCACACCATTCTGTTCGGGGGTGTAAGGATAGGAGAGCTGATGCCTTATCCCGTTAGATCGAAGGAGTTCGTTCATCTGGTGATTGACGAATTCGGTGCCATTATCCGTTCGAAGAGCTTTAATCCGCCTGTTGGTTTGATTCTCAATGAAAGTAATAAATTGTTTAAACACATTATAAACAAAAGATTTATTGGATAGTGAAAAGAGCCAAGTATAACGAGAATAGTCGTCTACAAGAATTAAAAAATAACGAATGCCGTGAGGTGAGGGAACCGGAGCCGGACCCCAGACATCGGCGTGCAAGAGCACTAAAGGAAATTTCGTTCGGGATCTAGACACTTGAAACGGTAGTTTATGACATTTGCATTGAATACATGTAGTACAAGAGTTAACAGGAAGCATAATGCGTAGAGTAGGATTGCTTTGAGCTATTTGATGTAGCATTCTTGAATTGGGATGGCCGAGACGATCGTGCCAGTGGGAGCGACTATCATTGGACGCCTGGAATGCAGATGTTGGAGATTTTGCTGTAGATGGTGGCACGATTCGGTAGAGACCGGCACTACATGGACCGCGAAGAAGTGGTTGATTTGTTGTCAGATCCTTAAACACAAAACCCATGGGATCAAATGTTACGGAAATGTTATTATCTTGAACAAGATTGGAAATAGAAATAAGATTGTGTGAGATGTCGGGAACGTGAAGTAAATTAGATAGGAAAAGCTTACGGGTCGGGGTAGGAAGAATGCTCGTGCCCGAGTGAGCAATAGGGATATTCCTTCCATCCCCGATGAAGACACCGTCAGAACCAGGATAGGTAGTAGCCTGAGTGAGGTTATCTGCGGCATTTGTCATGTGAGAGGAAGCTCCGGAGTCAAGGTACCAATCGTAGGACGGCGTATCGGAATTGGCCACGAGAGCGTTGTTTTGCTTGGCAGTTGAAGATTGAGGAGTGTAGTTGGCGTTCATACGATGCCAACATACGTCTGCAGTGTGACCTTTCTTAGCGCATATTTGGCAAATGTGAGCTGATTGCTGTTGATTCACGGATCGTCCATTAGAGGATTGAGGCGGAGGAGGTTGTCCCCTGTTGCGACGACCTCGTCCGCGATTCGCGTAGAGGGCCGCTTGCTGGACGATGTCAGCGGAGCTACGAGCAGCGTCGGCGGTGATATGGATTTTTTCACTTATCAACATTGCGTAAAGGTTGTCCAGGCGTATTTGGGTAGGTGAATTACGGATATAAGTTTTGAAAGATTGATATGCCGGGGGCAATCCGTTAAAGATATACAGAATTATATCTTCGGAATCAATGGTGGAGCCGGCTGAGGCAATCTGATCGACCAGCTTCTTGATCTCGGTCAAGTACTGAACCATGGAAAGATTTTTCATGGAGATGTGATGAAGCTCATTTTTGAGCTGTATGACCTTGGATCGGCTGGCCGCCTGAAATTGATTTTCAAGAAACTGCCAGATCTCATGGGTGGTGTCAAGATGAAGGATGTAGGGAAGCACGGGTGGGGATATCGTCGAACATAAAGCTGCCTGCAGGTTCTGATCGGTGATGCGCCAATTCTTGAGTGTCGCAGCAGCGGAAGGGTCAGAAGGGTCGATGGGGGGAACCGGAGGAGCAAGAAAGTTATCAAAGTCGTTGGCGCGAAGAAGCTTGATAATCTGGTGGCGCCAAATCGGATAGTTGTCCGACGAGAGCTGGTTAGGGACGAGAGTTTTGAGATTGGAGACCACAAACTTGAGAGACGGCGAGATCGGCGCGATCTCCGTTGTGGTGCTGGAAAGTTGTTCGGCGACCGAGGGAGAGGCAGTGAGAGATGTCGTCATTGCGAGAGAGAAAGAAGGAGAAAGAGGCCTGATACAATGTAGAAACTAAGAATCAAGATTCCTCTCTGCGCAACTCATTGGAGGTGAGGAAGAAGAACAGTAGCAGAGGATAGAAAATGAATTATTATTATTGCCTGTCCAAGTAATAGGTACAGGTGAGAATATATAGGTGAATATAGTGAGTGTATAGGTACACGTGTGAGTAGCTAATTGGAGGAAATTTAAACAGCTAGATAACTGACGGTGTTAGCATATAAACTACATAATTAACAACTCTAATAAGATTGAATACAAATTTTTCCACAGCTGAATTATTGGTGCATAGATGGCTTCATTAAATCTTAATAAAATGAGACAAAAATCTATGAGAATTTCTTATGATATTATTCAGTAGACAATATTCTTCATTATTATTTTTGCTTGCAATGATATTTAAAAATTCATAAAAATAATAAGGAAGTTGAATTACTCATTAAAAAATTATCAAATAATCTTAAAAAAAATATTAATATTAAAAAGAAATCCATTTTCCCAAGTGATCAAATTTGTTGAATGCATCACAAATCCTATTACTATAGAATTTTTTTTCTTATTATTATTAGACTATTGTGCACTTTTTTTTCAAATTAACGTAACAAAATTAAAGATGATGAAGGTCATTCTTAGATAATCTCTAACCGACCTACATATTAGGGGTGTCAATATTTGACAAAATCCGAAAATCCGACTTGAACACGACCAAAACATTTCGGGTTAGGAACAAACATGACCCGAAACGAGTCGGCTTTGCGTTAAGCAAATCAACCCGTTTTAAAAATCAGGACGGGTTCGAGTTGACCAAGTAACCCAAAATTGACTAGATTTTGATCCGAAAATCCGTTTTTGACCCGGAAACTCAATATTGACCCATTTTGACCTGATTTTGACCTGAACATAAAAGATTGACCCGTTTTGACTACAAAATCAGCATTTTTTATTTGCCCGGGGCCATTCGGGTTGTGTCGGATTGACACAGACCCGCAGCGGGTCGGGTTCGGGATCGAAAAACCGACCTGTTTGCTAAAAACGGGTTTGGTTCGGGTTGACCCAAATATTGTCGTGTTAGTTTCGGGTTCGACCCGAACCCGTGACCCGAAATTGACACCCCTACTGCATACCACCATATACAATCGGCCATTCAATCCATTTGGACTCCAAAATCTCAAGCCAAAGTTCGATAGGTGATAGGCATCGGACTACCGTCAAAAAATTAGGCTACGGGATTTACCAAAAATGCGCGCGAAAGAGGAGAAGAGCGCGGGAAAGAGTAGAAAATGGTTACCTTCGTAGGAAGCGGGCGAAATAAGAGAGAAAATGCCATTCAATTGGAGATGAATTATTTCATTTTGAAGTTTTGCTGCATTTTGGAGTGGAAAATGATTTTTCGGTTGGGTTTGTCCTTAGGGTTTTAAATAGTCAAGTCGAGCTAAGTCACTTCTAGCTGAGCTTGAGAATGATTAGTCAATCAATCCCAAGCTCGATCGTAATTCTATTAAATTGAGCTAGCTTGTCTATAATTAACAAAAAGAGAAAAAAAGGTGAATGGTTTAATTTTTCTTCTTCTTGGTGTTAACGTTACCCCACTCCTCATTGGTGTTAACGTTGCCGTACTCTTCATTTTTTTCCTGTGCTATTTTCCTTGTTTGTTTTATGTTTAAATTTTATAATGGATTTCATTTCTACGTACCGTTGTATTTGACTCCTTCCTCACAGGGCTATAAAGCCCAGCCAAGACACCACAACTCAAACACGCGAAAGAGAAATGGGGGAAGAGAAGAAGAAGATGAATAACTACTCTTTCCCCCTTCTCCTCCTCCTCCTCCTCCTCGTCTCTCTCCACTCCATACCCAACGCTACTGCAGCTGAGACTCCCCTTCTGAAAACCTACATCATCCGTGTCGAAAAGGCCCCAGCTTCCATCCTTGACCTTCACCAATGGTACAAATCCTTCCTTCCAACTTCCACCGAAGCCTTAAACGGACAACGAATGATATACTCTTACAAACACGCCATCGCCGGCTTTGCTGCGCGGCTCACCGAGAAAGAAGTCAGTTTGATTTCCTCCAAGCCGGGCTTCATCAGCGCCCACCCCGACCGCATTATCTCTATTCAAACCACCCACACGCCTTCCTTCCTCGGCCTGATTAAGAACAACTCAAATAACGCCGGCTGGGTAGATTTAGGCGGTGGCGAAGGCGTCGTGATCGGAGTTCTCGACACCGGCATCTTTCCCGACCACCCTTCCTTCAGCGGCGAAGGCATGCCACCGCCGCCGAAAAAATGGAAGGGGAGGTGCGACTTCAATGCGTCGCAGTGCAACAATAAGCTCATCGGGGCAAGAACGTTCCTTAATGGCTCAGCGGCTTCGAGAGATGTGATGGATGTGAGTGAAGGTCCAGGTCTTCCTCCATTTGATGAAGAAGGGCATGGAACGCACACCGCAAGTACTGCGGCGGGGGCAATGGTGGAGGGTGCTCAGGTGTTTGGCAACGCTAAGGGAGTGGCGACGGGAATGGCTCCGAGAGCGCACCTTGCAATCTACAAGGTACGTTACAAAGTTTAAATAATAATAATAATAAAAAATGTGATTTGGTATTTAACTTTTCTCTTGACTGTTTTTTTTAGTTTATAAATGATAACTATGACAAAAACTTCTGTGGCCGGCAGTTTTGAGGGAAGAAAGAGTAGGTTTTATGAAATTTTGTGATAGAAAATTTCATAGAGATATTTGATCTGAGCTGTTTGATTTAATATTTTCTTTAATAAATATATATTTATTTAACTAACGGATTCTTTGGTTTGAATGATTTTGGATGCTTGTAAGGTATGTTAAACGGAAGGTTTTAAGCGTATACACGGTTTTTTTTTTTTTGATAAATTTAAAACTAAACTAATAGGCCAAGGTAAATTTTTTATATATTTCAAAATCAATTTAAGAGTTATCATTCAATAAAAGATAAAAATCACTCATTATCTTTGGCTTTGTTACGTGATAGAAAATTTGTAGCATTGTATAAAAATTTAGAATGGAAAAAAAAATTATGTAGGACACTAGAAAATTTTAAAGTGGAAAATTCATAAGAAAAGGAAAAAATGATCGGGCCTGACCTAATTGTAATAATCCACTATAGAATAGGAGATAAAAAATCATCACTTTCAATTCTCATAATTAAAGAAGAAGGGATATCTTTGAAACAATAATTAATTGATTCTCATTTTAGAGATTGCAAAATTTAGATGCCCACAGGAAATAGTTAAACACATAACAGTAGGGCTAGATCTGAATGAAATCTGGAGGAGGTAGTGGTGATTGTTGGTGAAGATTGTCAACAATGATAGCTCAAAAAATACAAGAAAACTAATTAGTTATCTTAGCTCTTGAACCTCCATTTTTTAGAGAACAAGGTTGCATTTTTTATATAGGTGTTTTGGTAAATTTGGCCATGAATAAAAGTACTCAATCGTAGGGTCTATACTAATCCCCATAATCATAAATTATTTATCAAAATTTTTGAATGCTTTTAGAATATTTGAACTAGTAATATTGGGCTCGTTGGATTCATTTCATTGAGCCACTCAATTTGACTATAAGTGGAAGTCATTCGGTCTATCAATTTATATTTAGGCAATTTAAATGTAATTCAAGTGCTTGATTTGAGCTCATTTAGAATCAAATCGAGTCATTTATAATGTCGATAAATTTATCTCGTCATGACATTCAATTTGACCATAACTTTGTTGAAATTGGAGTTCAGATTATTCAAAATTTAATTATGAAAATTTAAAATTCAAAAATTACTCAACGATTCATGTTAGTCATGTGAATTTTTTGGAGTCGTATCATTTGCCCCCTAATTTTTAATGTCAAAGCTTATTATTTTTGAAAAAAAAATAGTTTAAATTTTCAAAACATCTTGTGACACAAATTATAATTTTAAAAATGTTATGGGGCATGATCATACTCTTGATATTAATATATCCCTCTTCTTGAGGCTATTAACTATTAAAATGTCTTTAATTGTAACTTCATTTGCACATAAAATTGGCACACATTTGGAGCGAAAATTATTACAAAATTTGTGCTCCAAGATATTTAAATTGGCTTAGAATTATCATAGAGGAACTATTCGGCACTAAAGACACCATAACTAATTTCAGAAAGTCAATAAATAGTCTCACGGAACCCAAAATGCTTTAATAAGCTTTTTTGGGGCCCAAACTATGCTAGGTTGCTTGGTTGATCGACCGACCAGCATCACTGGATCTGAGTAGTAGCATCGGTGGTCTCCATCACCTATCGCGTCTTTTGGCACGATCGCTTCTAATTAAAGGGAGTTTCCTCTAAGTGAGGCGCTATTTATTGCCTAAGGGGTGTGTTGAGCGTGTGATGCCCTAACTAAATGTGAAAAAGTTTTCTATTTTATCTCTTAAATAATCTACGAGAGCCACTAAATTTATTTATCTAATAAAATTTTGTAAAAGCAATTATATAAATCATAACATGTCACTGTGTTCATCATTCATCAAAATTTATTTACAGTAGTAACAGCTCAATCAATACCTAAATCTATCTTTTAATACTTCTGGCTATAAAATAATAAGGAAAAGTACAAAAATATAAATATGAAATCGAATTAGCCTTAGTCCATTGGATCTTAACCCCGTTCTAAAATACATATAAAAAATATTTGGTGAGCTAACAACTTAATAGGATACCCAAACCTACATTTTCAATAAATGAAAGGCAATTACAACAACATGTATGTAATTATTCAATCAATATCAGTATATATATAACAATATGAACAATTAACAATTAATAAGAACAATATCAATCCATATGAGTAGTGGAAATCAATGCAAGCAATATAACTTAGGAATTTGTAATTAGTAACCATATAAAGGATAAGTATGTTCTGTCGTTCATGTACCCATGTCAATTGCAACACAATAGTTTTATTAAGAATATATGCATGTTCATAGTTTACACTTTACTTCTATCTATATCATTTATACCAATCTATCTATTATACCAAGCAAATGTTCTATAGCTATTGTATGCATATCATATAATACAAATACATGCATATCATCTATAAAATGAAATCTCTCATATATATCATGCATATCCTTTATTTCATATGTATCACACAACCTTGTATTAGTCTCATCAGTCTTGTCATATACATGTATCAATCATATCTTATATCATATTCAGGTCTTATATATTATATTATACCATTTATGCAATCATATATGCTCATGTCTCATTTATATACTATAGTCAATAAAAACGATGACAGAACATCTTGTCACTTGTGATTTTTTTCCTATATTAAGTCCAATAAGTCCTTCAGACCAAACAAGAATCACTCTCATGCATATCAACACTATAAATAAGAATCAGTGTCAGATTACATGTCATAGGTTTGGTAGCTTTCATATAAGAAGTTGTCACTTTCTTTCTATTGGTGTATTATTAATTGATCTCTTTACACCTCTCATCTCATGTCACTTAGGATTACACTACAAATCTTATTTTATGAAAAGCTCATCGACCCATCCTCCTATATATAAAATTATTAGGTGCGATTTTCGGACGCTTCCGGGCATCATCCAATATACAGTGCATTTGGTGATGTGGCGAATCCGAATTTGCCTATGGATGCATTCGAACTCCGCATAGAATAATCTGTTCTCATATACAAGATAATATATCTCTAATCAATCTGAATCAATCAATCAATTTCATCAAACCTTTCTTATTTTTACAAACATTTCACTTAATGTATATTAAAAAATATCCTACAAAATATAAAAGGAAAATAAATAGAAAATTCTCGTTGTAGAATTAAAAGCCTCACATATTTTCTTACAATTCATAAAAAAATTGAATATTTAAATTTGATTATATGCATACGTTGTCAAATATTATTTATAAATAATTTCATATAGCTAGATGCATATAATTCTTCATAATATTTACATTTAAATAACAGTATTTCTTACCTAAAAAAAGTGCGTGGGTAAAAAATGTTTTTGAATTTTTGAGGTTTATATAATTGATGATTTCATATATAATAAATAATAATCTTAATATAAATTTAAAAGTTCTAAAAAATATTATGTCTGAATATCGATGCAAAAAAAAAAAAAAGTTTTTTTTCTCTGTCTCAAACTCTCAGTGGTGTTCTAACGTTTAATTCAAACTCTTCCAAAGGTATGCGAAGATGACTGCTACTCGAGCGATATACTAGCCGGGATGGAGTCCGCAGTGGCAGATGGAGTCGACGTCCTCTCAATCTCCCTCGGCGGCTCGTCGGTTCCCTTCTTCCAAGATGAAATTGCAATTGCCGCGCTTCACGCCGTCCAGAAAGGAATATTCGTGAGCTGCGCTGCCGGAAACGACGGCCCAGCTCCCTCTACCCTCTCCAACGAGGCGCCATGGATACTAACCGTCGCGGCTAGCAACACCGACCGCTCCTTCGTCGCAAACGTTAAGCTCGGCAATAACCTCGTTTTCTCTGGCCAAACGGTCTACCAACCCCCCAACTTCACCGACGCACAACGCCCACTCATCTACGCCGGCTTCTGCACCAACCGCTCGCTTTCCGGTCTTGATTCTAAAGGAAAGGTGGTTGTTTGCGACCGAGGAGGCGGACTAAGCAGGATTTCCAAGGGTGAATCTGTCAAAGCGGCAGGGGGAGCAGCAATGATCCTTGTGAATGAAAAAGACGATGCGTACAGCATAATTGCGGATGCCCACGTCCTCCCGGCCTCTGCAGTCAGCTTTCAAGCTGGATTGAAGATCAAGGCCTATCTATCCTCTTCAAAAACACCCACAGCATCAATCATTTTTCAAGGCACGGTTTTTGGCTCCTCCCCTGCTCCCGCGATCGCTTCTTTCTCCTCCCGTGGACCGAGCATGGCTAGCCCGGGTATCCTTAAACCGGATATCACCGGTCCAGGTGTCGACATTCTCGCAGCATGGCCGGTATCAGTGGGCCCACCAACGTCGAAGCCCTTTAATATAATCTCCGGGACTTCAATGTCCACGCCGCACCTCGCCGGAATCGCAGCGCTGATAAAGAGTACCCATCCAGATTGGTCTCCGGCAGCGATCAAATCAGCAATGATGACAACTGCCGGAATAGAAGATCGAAGCAGGAGGCCAATAGTGGATGAACGGCTTCTCCCGGCGGACCATTTCGCACTTGGGGCTGGCCATGTGAACCCACTCAGGGCTGTCGATCCGGGCCTCGTTTACGATACTGATGTAGAGGATTACACGCCTTACCTTTGCGGATTGAACTACAGCAACGCTCAGTTAACGATAATGACGGGCAAGAAGGATATTGACTGCTCAAAGATTAAGAGCATTACTGAGGTTGAGCTGAACTATCCGTCGGTATTGGTGTGGCTTGGCCGAGATGAGGAGAGGAACGTGACGGTTTGGAGGACGGTGAAGAATGTGGGAGAGGCAAAGGTTGAGTTTTTAGTGAACGTTGATGAGCCAAAAGGAGTGGAGGTGGTGGCGGCGCCCAGTAGACTGAGCTTCAATGAGGTTGGGGAGGAGAAAAAGTTTGCTTTGACATTTAGGCGTAGCGGAAGTGGAGGGGAAGTGGCGGAGGGAAGGATCAAATGGGTTTCGAGCAGGTATGAGGTTAGTATTCCGATAACGGTCATATTAAAGGAGTAGCGTACGCGGTATTAGAGCTAACTGCATGTGGAGTGTGGTGCTTTTGTTTTATTGTCTGCTAATAATGAGGAGAATCTATTTGCATGTGTATCAATGCACATGATGGGATGTGTGTGTCTTTTTTAATTATGGTAAATGTTCGAAAAAAAATATTATTTTTTTATTTTTTATTTTTTTGGTTTAGACGTTTGAGGCTTCATTTGTGACAAGTTTCTTTTAAAACAGTTTTTTATGAAAACTTTTATGATTTAAAAAAAAAATTTATACTAAAAGTTTTTTAGGAAGTAGTAAAATAACTGTCCCAAACAAAACTTAGTCAATTAAACAAATTCATCCAAACCATGTATACATAAGTTTTGAACTTGAAACCTCTTATCTAGTGGTCAAAGCTCCCAATCAACATATCAAGAAGAGTAGATGTATTAGATTTGACTTAAATTAAGAAATGTAGAGTAGACCTAGAAAGACTTGATTATAAAATATTAGAAATAATATTTCTTTATTTGATTTAAATAATAAATTGATTCTTAATAGATACAATTAAAAAAATCATATATATAGCTTATCCACCGTAGTGGTATAAAGGCTTGATATTTTTATTGTTGTTGTAGTATAATGGCTAATACTATAAATGTTGCATCCTAGAATATTCGTGGCGATAAAGAAATATAAAGTTTAGCATCTTAGGTTTGTACGAAGATCCAACATGCATACAGATACAAGAGTATGGTGCAATATTCATGAGAGTCTCCAAAAGTTTTGTGTGGAAAACCCTGAAAAGGGAAAAATCATGGGGCTTGGTCCGGTTTGAATGAATCCACTTATATTTGTAGTTGATTGCAAATGAGATCCTTCCTTGGGAAGAAGACCATGCCTCAATGTATACATTATATAGAGCACAATACATAGTTAGAGAATAGCATGACAGTTATTCTTAAGAGAGTGTTAGCATGCTTGTTTAGTCAATAGGACCATTATCGGCTGACAAAGGTGGATGGAAGGACCATGGTTGGCAGGCAAAGGTGGTTATAAGGATCGTAGTCGGTGGGTGATAAGGTCGACGGGTAATAATGGTTGGAAGAATCATATTCGGTGGGCTACATGGTTAAGACGACTTTGGTCGGAAGGATAGTAGTCAACTAACGATGATGATCGGGAGGATCGTAGTTAGTGGGAAACAATGATCGAAAGGACCATAATCGGTCGATGGTTCAACATAGTTGGTGATGGTGGTAAAAAAGATCGTAGTTTGACGACGGTGATTGGAAGGACTGTAGTCGAGCAATGAATGTCAGAAAGATCGTAGTCAAGTGATGGTGGTTTGAAGGACTATAGTCGGCGGGTGACAATAAAGGACAATAGTCGGGTGATTATAGTAGGAAAGATCATAGTTAGATGATAGTAGTCAAAAGGATCGTGGTATGTGGGTGACATGGTCGGTGAGTGACTATAGTCGAAGGGAAGTGATCTGACAAAGGTTGGCGATCGACCAGGTGGAAGTTTGGTAGTGTTCGGAGGCTAGGTGGGAAGTCCCACTATAGTTGGTGGTTGGGTGATGCAAACTTGAGAAAACAAGAGAGATCCTTCATTTTTTATCTCTTCCTCCTCCACTTTTCGAAGAATGAGAGGACTTTTTATAGTTCTTTTAGAGTGGCATGGCTAGTAAATAGGGAGAAGATTAAGGGTATATTGAGATCCAATGGACAACCAATATTAACTACATTAATCATAGACCATTTATTGATTATTTAGGCATCTTAATAATGTCAACAATTTGGTAATCTTAGGCTTGATAGATTTGTCTCATCGAGCCTCTCGATTCAACTATAAACATGTCACATTTGGATATCACTTAGTCATTCAATTAATATTCTAAAGCTTCCAAATAGGCTTTGGATCCTTGATTTAGACCCATTAGGGTTCGGATTGGACCAAATTTGGTGTTGTTGGATTTGTCTCTTTGAGAGATTAAGTTCTACTATAATTTTACTTAATTTGAAGAGTGGATGGCTACAAATTTAATTTTAAAAGTTTTTCATTAAAATTTCCTTGAGATTTGTGCCTAGTCAAGATATTTGTTTGATGATATATCCGTTGCCCCCCTATTTTCATTCATTGAATCCTGTAGAGTCCAAAAATATTTCTTGATGGTCTTCAAATTCTTTCAATACAAAATTATAACTTACGAGTAATTATGAGGCATGGCCACTCCTTGGACGTCAATGTAAACCTCCCATTAGCACCTCTAACCAAGTAAAATATTATTAATCATAAATTTAACATGTCATAAAGTTGTCACATTGATTGGAACTAAATGTATTAAAAAAAATTTGAAAACTTTTACAATTACTCAAAATTGACTGTAGATGCTCTATTAGGCCCTAAAAGTGCTAAAATTGAGTCCGGAACATCAAAAAATGGTTCTAAAGACTCAAAAAATGTATCAATTGAATTGTATTTGCTAAAAATCAGGCTCGAACCCGACTTAGTGATCAAACTGGTAGGCTAGCCACATGCCTCAACACTCCGACGAGCCTGTATAAACCACGTGCCTGTTGCTTCCTGCCTATGACTGCTTAACTATCTATGTTGTCCCCTCTTGTTGGCCTTGCTATTCACGCCTAGCTGTCGGTGTGATTCCTTCTTGGCTACCAGCGTGGTCGTCCCCACTTAGCTTCCCGTGTCGTGGTTTAGTTTGCCTGTACTATATGGCATGTAAAATCAATATCATTTGAGTGGCTTAGCCGGTTAAAACCGATAGTTTAGTTAGCTATTTTTATATATATTTTTAAATTTTTAAAATACTTTTTCTCTGTCTTCTTCAAGTATAAAAACCATAGGGGTAGGGGAAAATTGTCCCTTCTTTTCTTCTCCTTCCTTCCTCCAACATTCTTATAACAGAGGCCCTCCACTATCTTTAATAGATCGATGACATCCCTATCAAGTCCATTGCCCCTCTTTATGTAGAATGAACCTTCTTCCTCAAACTCATTCACATATCAGAGGCTTTCAACTAATTTTGGATGTGTGATATCCGATATTTAACTTTCGTTCCCCTATATGTGTAGAATAAACATTCTCTCTAAATCTCCTTCACATATGAGAGGCTTTCCATTATTTTTGGATAGGTTGTATCCAGTATCTAACTTCAGATCCCCTATATGTTTAGAAGGAGTTCCAATGAGAGTTTGTTCTCTCCATAGATTTCTCATGATGAGAAAGATTAAGCACCTCTTGCATGAAATGATGGTTTGAAAAAGATTGGTGATAGTAACACCCAAGAAAAAAACTAGTGACCATCAATAGACGGGCAAAAGTTCAACTGTGGTTAATGATCGGGAAGAGATCTAGTGATCTCAAATTGTTCCTTTGATACAACGAGTCGGACAATATGCCTATGGAGGCGATCAAATGATGATAGTTTAATAGAGGTGATTATGTGAAATTTTGAAGTTGGCGATCAGTTGATGGCGATGATTGTAGGGTGTGTTGTTAATTCTAGTCAAGCGAGAGGTCAATGATGATAGATAAGAGATAAAGGGTTGATGATGATGGTTGAGATGTGAAGGACCCCTAGTGGTTTTTAGGCGAAGGACTAATGACGGCGATGGTCAAGTCAGGCTCTATTAAAGGAAGTAACATCATATATCCTGTTGGAAAGGATCGAAGCAATGTGCCACATTAATAATTTGGTTTCATAATAATAGTGCCTATTGAGTGGAGGCCTATTGGGGCTCTCATATTTCCTTCAAGGATAAGATCATCAGAGATCCTTCAAAATGCAATAGAAAAGTGGTTGATTGAATCTGCTAAGGTTGTTTAACCTTCATGAGGTAATTTATAAGAGCATAATTTGATGATGTCAATCAGTGTGTAATAGGTTAAGAGAAATCCACAAAAGATGTTCACCCTATCTGAGATTATTTATCAAATTATGACTTGATGAGCTTAACCTATATGGAAGAGGTGGAGAGGAATCCATAAAAGATATTTGACCTATTCAAGATTGTTTATCATAGCATTGATCGATAATATTAACATATATGGAAGAGGTCAAGGGAATTAATCAAAGATGTTTGACCTATTCGAGATTATTTGTTAGAGCATCGCTCAATAAAATTAACCAATGTGGAAGAGGTTGATGAAATTCATAAAGGATATTTGGCTTATCCGAGATTATTTATCAGAGTATTACTCGATGATGTTAACCTACATGAAAGAGGTCGAGGGAGTCCATCAGTAATATTTCACCTATATGAGATTATTTGTCAAAGCGTTATAGGATAATGTTAACCTATATGGAAGAGGTCAAGGGAATCCACCAAGGATTTTTGACTTATTTTAGGGTATTTATTAGAGTATTTTTCGATGACATTAACCTGTATGAAAGAAGTTGAGAGAATCCACCAAGAATTTTTGATATATTTAAGATTATTTTTAGAGCTAGAAGAGATTGAGAGAATCAACTAAGGATATTTAAATTATTCAAGATTATTTATTAAAGCATTAATTGATGACGTTAACCCATATGTAAGAGGTCAAGGGAAGCCACTAAGAATGTTTGACCTATTTAAGATTATCTGTTAAAGTATTGCTCGATGATGTTAACTTATATATAATAGGTCAAAGGAGATCACTAAGATTGTTTGACTTATTAGAGGTTATTTGTAAGAGCATTGCTCGATAATATTAACATATTTGGAAGAGGTCGAGGGAAGCCACTATGAATATTTGACCTATTCAAGATTTTTTGTTAGAGTATTGCTCGATGATGTTAATTTGTATAAAAGAGGTTGAGAGAATCTACCAAGGATATTTAACCTATCTGAGGTTATTTGTCGTAGTATTGCTCGATAATATTAACTTGTGTGGAAGAGGTTGATAGAATACACCAATGATGTTTGACCTATCCTAGGTTATTTTTAGGTCTACATCTACCTTTCTTAATATAAGTCAAATCAAATAGATCTACTTCTTAATTGGGTCATTAGAAAGCCTCC